GACGGAGAGGGTGGAGTTCTGTAAGCATAGGCCCCAGGCCTTGTTCCTCATTGGCTCTGTTGCCCAGTGAATTGCTTCCTTTTCTTCACTGGTTTTTGGGAAGACTTCCCCTTTAAAGTCAACCAACCAAAAAAAGGGTGCCCGTTTTTTCCCATGGCCACTGGGCATCTGAGTTGGTTCCCGTTTACCCTTGTCTTCCTTCCAACAATCATGGCTTTCAGGACTCCTAGGTCCCCCAGTAGTGCCCTTTTCCCCTTTTTTGGGGGCGGGTTCCCCTACGAAAATAGACTACAGAAAAAAAGGTACCCTTAAGCTGTCTGGCCCAAACCCATTCAGCTCAGGGAGTGGCGCACCCAGGGCCCCGCTAGGCTTCTCCCAGCCGGTTGGGCGTCAACAAAGCTGGGTACTCATCCCCGGCAGCCCCGTCTGTGCCTTGCGCAGCCCCCTTGGCTGTGGTCCGTTGGTCTTGCGTTGCTTGGCGTTGGTTGCCTTCTCTGTGGCTTTCTTGTTCGCCATGCTGTCGCGTGACCCCTCGGTCTTGAGGGTTCTGGGGGCTTTGCCTTCTGAGGCCCTTGGTGCCCTGGATGCCCTTCTCTCTGAGTGTCCTTTTTTCCAGGACACCGATCCCCTGGCGTGGCGGGGTGCTGTCAATCTGCACTTTCGGGTTGAGGCCATGGCTGCCCCTTCTCTGTGGCGTTGTGCTTTGTTCTCAACGGGGCTCCCGCCTGACCTTCATGCGACACCTCGTGAGTGCCGCATGTGCTTTGAGTTCATGCTCCATGCGCCGCAGGAGTTTCAGTCCCTCCTCAATCGGCCCCTCGCTCACTTCAGGGCCAGGGATGTGTGGCTTGAGCCTGGAACTATGCCCAGGGAGGCCCGTGTGGTGTTGCATACCCCTCTGTGGGTGTATCCCCAGCCACCGTTTGAGGAGCCTTTGGCGGTCACTCACCTGTTTGCTGGCGCCTTTCAAGGCTGGGGGCAGGGCTTGGAGATCATCCGCTCTGAGGCCGGGGTGGACATTGCCCACGAGGTGCTTGTGGACCACTCTGCTATGGCCATAGCTGCTCAGGTTGCCACTCTGGATGTGCACAGTGTGCTCCCTTCGCAGTTGGCCAGTTGGCAGCCCACCCCAGCTCAGATTGCGGTCCTTGCGGATGTGTCTGATGTGGGCCTTTTCCATGTCGCTCCTTGGGTTGGGTCGCATGTGGCTACTGCCTCGCCTCCTTGCCCACCGTGGTCTCGGGCGGGGGATCAAGATGGCCTGGCCGACCCCAATGGCCTTACGTTCATCGCTGCGCTTGCCTGGGCCCGTGCTGCAGCCCCCTTGGGACTTCTCTTGGAGTGCGTGGATGGGCTGCCTGCTCACCCCCACTTCCCCGTTGTTTTGGCCACTATTCAGTGGGCTGGGCACAGGCTGCATCATTCAATGGTGCATGACCATGCGGTCTTTGGCCCCTGCTCTAGGCGTCGTTGGTTGGCTGTCCTCTTGAGGCATGACGTGGAGGTCGCTGCTCTGCCGTCTTCCCTTGCTTTCAGGGACCCTCACCCTGCTCCGTGGACTCATCCCTCCTTTCAGGTTGCGGAGGCCCCTGAGATCAACCATGCCAGGTTGCTGGATGAGGCCACTCTCCAGCACTACTCCAATCCTGAGTTCTTCCCTCAGGCTCCCGGTGCGCCCCGGCTTGCCCCTGCTGAGGTCCTCCAGCAGCGGGTCCCTGCTGTTGATCAGCCCTTGCGTACGTTGTGTGCCCGGTACACCCAGCAGCATGTGCTTTCTGTCAGCTCACTCTCGGACAGAGGCCTTTTCGCTCAGCTGCAGCCCCTTGAGGGTAGGTTTGCGTTCTTCTCCCCAGCCCAGTGGGCCCTTTGGCTGGGGGCCACCCGGCCGATTGTTTTGGTTCCGCCGCTCGCGGAGATCTTCCATGGGTTGGGCAACTCGATCTCTGTGCCTCAGGCGGCCATTCCTTGGGCCATCTTTCTGCACGCCGTTGGTATTATTCGTGAGCCTCCGGAACCTGTGGTTTTGCAGGTGTGGCACAGGCGCCTTCGAGGCCCGGACATTCAGGCTGCGCTAGTGCGAGGCTGGTACTACTTGGGGCCCCTTGGGCCCCTCATTGACTTCGCCTTCAATCCGCAGGTCCCTCAGAGGGCCAGCACCGAGGGTCCTCCCACTGTCGTCGGGGATGCCGCCTGGGGGCTGCTCGGGCAGCCCTCTTTTCGCCAGGCGGTTACAGGGTTGAGGTCATCTTCCCTGTTGGGGCTGCGGTCTCCTTGCTCCTGCTTGCTGCCCGGCTCCCGCCTGTTGTGCTTGGTGCTCTTGCGGTATCCTCCTTTGCCAGGGTGTGGATGCCCCGTGACCCTGCGGGTGACCTGGCCGGCCATATCCTGGCGGTTGTGCCAGCACGTGAACCTGAGGACCTTCTGCCGCAGCCTGACCCTGTTGCTCTTGAGCCTCCTGAGGTCACTTTGCACTTCCATGACCCTATGCGTAGGGAGCATTCGCGCAGTGTCCCTCAGCTTGTTACGCTAAGGCAGGTTATCTGGTCCCTCCCTTTGCCTGATCGCCTTCTGATGCATGTTCGCCCTTTTGTGCAAGGGAGAGCGGTCCCTGATGCTGCTCTTGCTGGTGCGTGGGCTGATGCCCACATCACGCTGCGGGTGTTCCCCCTTCCTGGTGGGGGTGCCGGTTCACGGGATGGGGCGCTTCCGTCGGTTTCCGATGATGAGGAGATGGTCCCTGAGGATCCCTTGTTCATCCATGACCCATGGGCGCCACCCCCTGGGCTCGCTCAACGGGCCTCGGGTTCCGAGGGGCCCAAGGCCCACGCCAAGTGGGAACACCTCACGCTGCCCACTGACCATGCCTTCCGGCTTGCGGATTCAGAGGTTGTCCCAGTGCTTGTTCCAAGGGGGCAGCTTGGCCCGCTGGTTGCTGGCTTGGCCTTCTGCCCTGTCAATGCTCTTGGGGAGCTGATGGCCACGTCCCCTCCGGGTCCTTCCGCGCTTGTGGTGCCGGGTCAATCCAAGGCGTCGCTAGTCGCCCTTCCTTCGCACGTTGATGTGGATGGACCTCTCCAGATCATGGTCTTTGACCCTGTTGCTGCTGTTACCTACAAGCGACAGGTGTTGCTGGTGCATCTTGTCCCAGGCATTGTGTACCGCCCGGAGGTGAGCGATGCCATCATCATCGAGACTGCTGATTTTGTGGAGCTGGTTGTGGAGTGCTTTGAGGGCCTTCTTTTTGACTTCCCGGCGCTTCTCTCTCAGTCCCTCACTGAGCTGTGTGCGTCCCTCGACCTTACTCAGCCTTCCCATCCCGTGCAGTCCTGTTATGCCTTGAGGGTCTTGCAGCAGACTCCCCATTGTCTCGGGAGGGTCATCCAGTTCACTGTCAAGGTGTCGCGCCGGCACCGCCCTGCGTTGCTCCGTTTGTCAGGCACTGGCCAGTTCTTTGTCCGGGACTTTTTGGCCCGCGGCACTGAGCCTGACCACTCGGTGGTCCATCGCTTCTGGGCTCTCTCGGGTGATGGAATTCGGGCGGCCCTGGCCCTCACCCGGCCTCTGGATGGGTTTTGCGGTCTCGCCCCTCTTAAGCGTGGGATCGCTGTGTCGCCGCTGCCAGGCGTGCGCTGCTGCAGGATGATCCTCGCTTCGTCGATGTCAACCGGGCTTTGGTGTCCCGGGTCAATTTCCTGGCCGAGGGGCTCCCTTTTGGTGCTACGCCTGAGGCCATCGTTGACGCTGTCCTCAAGGCCACTGGCTTTGCGTGCATCCCTCTCCGGTCGTTCCGCCGATCGGGCATCCTCATGCTGGTGTGGGTCCTTGCCTTTTCCCAGGACCCCCCCGTGAGGGATTTCACCCTCTTGTCTGCTGGCCACCCCTGTGAGGTGCTCCTCACTCCTGAGCCCGCCCTGAGGAATACTGCCGGCAAGCAACGCCCGTTGCAGCCCCGGGTCCGCCCTGGTCTTCCCGCCCCCCAGGCCCCTGCTGGCCTTCCCTCGGCTCCTCACCGTGGTGCCCCTGCGGTTGCTCAGTCTCGGGTGGATGCGTTGGAAGCCCGGGTTGGTGGACTTGAAGCCAAGCAGGATGTGCTCGCCGAGAAGGTGGACAGCCAGTTTGCTCAGGTCTCGGCGCAGCTCACCCGCATCCTTGGGGCTGTCGCCAAGGGTGCCAGGGCCGCCTCTCCCGAGGCTGCCCCGGCCTTCAAAGCCGCCAGGCTTGGTGCCTGACAGGAGGGGCCCCCTGGGCCCCTCAGTCTCTTTTCGGGTTATGGGGCGGCCTGCCCCGGGTTTGGTACTGGCCACTTCCGTTGGTTTGTGTGGGCGCCTCTTTGTCTGTTTGTCCGCTCGGCTTCCTGCTCTGTCGGTTGTTGGCTGTACCGCGATTTTGACTCCACTCTGGGCTTCCCTGGTGAAGGCCCTTTTGTGGTGCGGTCTCACAATGTGGGCTCCCTCGTTGCCCATGCTGATTTGTTTGAGGCTCCCGCGTCGCTCTTGCTCCTGCAGGAGGCCCGTTTGTCTGTTGAGAATGTTCGCACTGCTTCCTTCCATGCGTCTGAGGTCGGCCGGTCTCTGGTTCCTGGCCCGCTGCTCCCTATCACACCTGACGTGAACGGTGTCCGTCGGGTTGAGTGGGGGGGATTGGCTGCCATCTCCCATGATTGCCTGGTCTGTGATTTCGCTCCGCAGCAGGATGTCACTGGCCGTCTTGAGCCTCTGCTGGCCTCTGGCCGTTCCCATGTCGTTTGGGCCACCTACGGCCGGCTGAGGTTCTTGGTTATCAATTTCTATGGCATCTCAGGGGCCTCTTCTGATGAGGCCATCTTCCAGCGCAACCAGGAGCTGCTCTCTGACGCCTTTGACTTTGCTGCCCCCTTTCTCTTTGATTATCCTGTCCTGTTTGCAGGTGATTTCCAAGCTTGCCCCTCCTCTTACCCTGCTGTTGGGGATGCCTTGGCCACCGGGGTCTGGCTGGACCCCTCTGAGCCCACCTCCCCCGAG